AAGAGGAAAATCACCAAAACAACTGGTGTGATATGAAACACTTTTTCAAAATAAATTATTTTCCTTTTAAAAAGAATTAAGATATGATTGAATTGCAGATTTATATCCTACTGCCACTTTTTCTTAAGGTTTATTTTTGTGTTTGAGAGGTTGAGATACAGAGGGAGAGACAGAGAGAAAGGTCTTCTACCCTCTGGTTCACTCTCCAAATATCTGTAATGGCCAGAGCGGGGCTGATCTGAACCCAGGAACTTCTTCAGGGTTTCCCACTTGGGTGCAGGGACACAGACACTTGAGAAATCTTCTATTGCACTGCCAGGCCATTAGCAGGGAGCTGGATAGACAGTTTAACACTTGAGACAGGAACTTGGGCCCATATAGGATGCTAGCACCGCTGGTGGAGGCTACACTTAGTAAGTTACAGCACAAGCCCCAACCAACTGCCACTTTCAAGATACTTTATTGTCAAAATAAATACTACAAACTCAAAAAATTAGGATAAATACAATGTTATAATATTGTATTAATTTGCTGTACATGATTGTATTTGACTCTAAGTAGAAAATTATCTTCAGGAAGTACTGTTAAATTTATTTTTTTTTTAATTTATTGACTTGAAAGAGTTACAGAGAGGCAGAGGCAGAGAGAGAGAGAGAGACAGAGAGAGAGAGAAAGAGAGAGGATGTGTGGCCTTCATCTGCTGGTTCCCTCCCCAAATGGCCACAAAGCCTGGAGCTGAGCAGATCCAAAGCCAAGAGCCAGGAGCTTCCTCCTAGTCTTCCACGCAGGTGCAGGAGCCCAAAGACTTGGGCCGTCTTCCAGTGCTTTCCTAGGCCATAGCAGAGAGCTGAATTGGAAGTGGAGCAACTGGGACTTGAATGGGTGCCCAAATGGGATGCCGGCACTGCAGGCGACAGCTTTACCCGCCAAGCACAGCATTGGCCCTATAACATTTAATAAATTGTGTGCTGTCTTCAACAAGAAATCCATACAAACTTAAAAGTAATATTTGCAATTGAAAATGTTCTGCTAATATCCAACCTTTTTTCAAAGATATATGTTCTGAAAATTAAACATCTTAATATGTTTATTTAAATATATATATATATATACACACATACAGACACATAGCAAAGAAATAGGATCATAAATTGTAGATATTTAACTTCTGAGGTTACATAGTGAAGAACAATTTTCAAATATGGAACTTGAAGCCAAGAGATGTTTTATGACTGTAAGTTAGAGAAACTTTGGGGTAGAAGGACCCTATAAAGACAAACCACCAAATGCTGTTTGAATTCCCTCAATTACATCTATATATGATCAGTTCCTAACATTAAACAAGCACAAACACTACATCTACTACTTCTCAGTCTATTTTGTACCACTAATACTATATGTTCTCAAATTATTCTAACAAGGATTCTCTAGTGTAAAAAACAACTGTAGATGCCACCTTTTCCACATAAATGTTGATATTTGAAATGAAATCAAGCTCTTAATATATGTGCACAGGTGATTAATTTTATAATCTTTGTGCTTTAAATCATTTCAAATAAGATGACTTCAGTTGATTAACGTGAAAGCTAGATCAAGTTTAGGTAACATTTAGTCAATGTCATTTTCTGTTTTTAAGTTTTTATATGCAATTTGGAATTCAGATTGATTTTGAAGATAGTAGAACAGTAATTGACTTGGAAAATTCCACAGTGATAATCCATTACAGTGGTTTTAATTTGCTCTAATGAAGTTTAATGAAACAAAGTGGTTTACCTAGTGTCCAGGGCTTATAACAACAAAATGGATTTGATAGCTAGTCTAATATTCCTTTCTGCCAGAGCTTTCCCTTCTTATAAAATGTTTCTGTTATGCTGAAAGAAGCATGTATCAAACTAAAACTCTTAAAAAGACAGGAAATTATCAAAAAGAGTTCAGTATATGAAAAATAAGAGAAAACAAAGGAAATGGATCTTTGCACAGAGGCCTTGCAAGCATTTAAAGCTTTCTGAATTTATTAGAGAATATCTTGTTTTCATATTTTTAAAAACAGATAATTAGATGAAAATGTTTCATCCTGAGCATTAGTTCATCACTTCCACTCTTACTAATTCATGATCAATAAAGGAAATCCCTCCTCCTCAAAAAAAAATCTTGGTTAAATTACCCTAAATAACTATTCAGTTTATCCATTCATACACAAAGGCAACATGAGCGAAGTATTTTTTCTATTTCGAGGCACACCACATGCAGGGAATTACCAAAGATAACACACTATTTTAACATAGTTTAACTTGTAAAAAAGACTGTAATATATTTTAAATTTGACTCTGTAGTAAAATCCATTTTATAAGCTTGTTGCTGAAATAAATTGATTTAAAAAAATCTGGTTAATTTTATTAGTTAAATATGAACACTATAATCATTTAATTATTGATGACATGTTCAGATTTATTGAATCTGTCTTATTTGTAATAAAGTTTATATTTTATTATACTTATGTGATGTTAAATCTCTGATACTTGATTTTAAACAGGGTCTGGTAATTGATACCTGCAGTACTAATCATTTTGATTAACTCATAAAGATACATATTATGTGTTCTTTCTAGTACAATGACGAAAATTCTCAAGTATTTATTTTTAACATATTTTGAAGTTTTGTGAATTTAATTTTATATTATTATTCCTTTATACATTGCTATTACCTAAAATGAATGCATCTCTATTACAATTATCATAGTTTTTCATTTCTAAAAATATAGTTCCTTTTTCAGAATATATTGGTTATATAGATTCTTTAAAAAGAAAAAAGTGAATTATTTAAAAAGAAAGAATTTCATAACTACTATATATATATTAAGTGAGGTATTTTTTAAAAAACCGAAAAGTATTTTCAAAATCCTGTTTCAAGGTGATATTTTGTGAGCTAGAAGCATTCATGTTTTTATATTAAGGCGTTCCCTTCAATTATCAAATCAAGTAAGCAAATACAGATACAGGCATGCACAAAGATCTACCCTTCCCACACACATTCCCCCTCCAAATCTGACACACATTCATTAGTGACATTATTAGTGGCATTGAACCCTTTCACCGTAGAATTTTATGCTGTAGTTTTCTCCATTGGGTTTACAATGTTTACATTTTGTTTTCTTTATTTTTAAGAATCCCATATTGTATTAAAACCACCATTAAATCTTCAGACTCATTTGTAATACTGAAAGTCATTTCTTACAGTGCAGAGAAAAGTTGGAGTAGATTCCTACTTATACTTCATGTTCGAGAATGGGAAAATGAAAATTATGCAAATATGAAATGCAAATTTTGTTAAAATATTTTGAGACAACAGGGGAATTCACAAGTGGCAGAACTAAATGTAAAGCAGTTGAATCCCCTACTAGAATGAACCTTTGGGTTACTATGAGGTCGCTTAGTGCAGGTAGAAGAGAATCACAACAAAATGTACTACTGCAGAGAGGTATAGTCATTCTCTTTAAACAAGGTTCACAGGAAGATTCTAAGAACTCTAAAAAGACTGAGTGGTCATATAGTCCTGCCTTCTTAGTTTAAGGGAAGAAATTGGGTTAAAACAGGTTTCTATGTATAAAATCACACAACTCAGAATTGCTAAGAATAAGGACTTTTAAGTCCTCTTCATAAGAAAAGTTTTCTTTTTTATTAATATATACAATATATATGCCTCAAAGATAGTTCATAAATACTATATATCATCAGACCCTATTTCTCCCTTCCTAGTTTGGAAAGTATTAACAACAGAAAAACATTACCTTGACATGTTTCCATATTAATGATACACACATTATTTGAACTAATCAGATGGAGTGGCAGTTCAGAATTAGTGAAATGACTATTTCAAGCTACCTAGAAAAATCAGCATTGTTTTTTAAAAATATGTAGCATGAGCAGAACTTAATAGCATGTTTAAAGCTGTCATCCTTCTCTATTAGCCAGATATTAAGAAATATGTAAATAGTTTTAAGTTATCATTGAGGAAATTAAAAATATCTCTTGCATTCATATTCTAATGGTTTTAAGAAAAAATGATTTTTTAACAATTTAATTAGCCATATTGCATAACTTATTTTTAGCTAGTATGGATTCAACTAAATAAATTTTCTTTATTTACTTTGGTATAATTTAAAATTTTTAAAGAATTCATCTTCTGAATTATCATTTGTCATTTTTTAAAAATCCATAGCAACTCTATTTCATCAAATAGTATATATTTAAAATTATATAGTACTTTTTATCCAAAATAAAATATTTCTAAAATTTCAGATAAAAAAAGCACAATTCTGACTCTTACATTGGACTTATATGTATCATTTTCCTAGACTCTCCACTTAAGGTACACAGTGATAAATGTAGGAAATAGTAACAACCTGTTTCAGAAGTTCTCCAAATAGCTATAATTATTTTTCATGTATGTTATAACATATAAAATGACATCATAGTGTCAAAAGCAATGATAATGAATAGAATTTATTAAATAGGTATTAAAATATACTTTATTTTTCCAATTACATCATTTTCTTAATGTGCCTTAATATTCAGAATAGGCTAAGTTTTTTGTAATTTATTTTAAAATTAAGTTCATTGAATTCTTCATGTTATTCTAATGCCCTAATAATTTTTACTTTCTTTGTTTACTCATAAATTTTTATGAACTCAAGTTGTTTATGAAATTTTTAAGCTTTTGCTTTTATATAAAAACATTTATAGTCCTAAAAATACTGATACAGATATGCAGGTGTCTCTCAATAGAATATTTAAAACTCTTCTACATGCTTAGTATTTTACTACTAAGTGATTTCTATTGCTTTTTTTTTTCCTTTTTGATTTTCCACTGAGTACCCTTTGTCAGCTGATTAAAGCAATTTCTTTAACTTGCATAATTCCATGCTAACAAAATTTGTTAACTTGAATTTCATTTTTAAATTGTATTTCCTGATACATGTTTTTGTTTGTTTTCTTAACTAGTGAAAAAGGCCATAGATTTTAAATCTAGAGGATTTAAATTGTTTCCAGGGAAAGACAACAGCAACAAGTTTTCTATCTGTGAGTGTACTCCTTTTTTGTTACTTTCTCTAGTGCAAGAGTGAAGTTTGTGGTGTCTGTGTTGTTTGTGTGTGTTTTATCAAAATGTTCATGAATTTACCAAATTAACTGCATTAATATTTATATAACATGCATGACTATTCAATAAAATATGTATTTAAATGTGTATTGAGATAATGAATTAATGTAATTTCACCAATGCATATGATTTTGCTCAAATTTATTTCATATCTTAAAATGTTAAAAAAAAATCACTTTGAGCTCATGTTGATGACACTCAAGTTTTGTAATTTTAGTATGTAAGGTAAAAACAAGTAAAATTCCTAAAATTTGTTGTTAGTAATTTTTGTGGAACATACATAAATGTTAACAAAGATATTTTCTTGAGGAAAGTCTCTTTTGAAGTACTAATTTTAATTTTAGGAGAAGTTGTATTAATTTGGGTTAATTTATCCATAGTCTTTATCTCAATAGTCTCATGAATTAATTAATCAGTTATTGGTATTTCTCTTTCGAAAATTTTATGAAATGACCTAGAATACACAATTATACTTACAAATTTACTTCTATTTAGATAATTTTGAACCCATCCTATAACTTCAGATTAATAATCACTCAATTAAACCATTTATCTGTATTACCACAAACAAACAGGATATTTGTTTTTTTTAGCAGAGGTAAACTAAAGAGGAGTTGGCAGTTCATACACATACATTTTATAAAATTTGTGAAAAGTCATTTATGACATAACAGGTGACTTCTTAACTAATGTATTGATAGTGAATGGGAGTAGTAATGTAACTTGCATTTATGTTATTATTGGTTATTCTTCAATAAGAGAATTTCTTATCTTATTATTCTTCAGTTCCAAATCACCTCTTGAAGTGTTGACCTATTTAACAGAAATCATTCATGATAGTTATACAGGAATGGTTTTAATTATGTCTGTTGACTTGTATAAATAAATAATAAGTGACACAAATTAAGCTGTTATGTGAATTATCAAGAAACAAATGTGGAGCTTCTATGTTATCAAATAGTTTATGGTGTTTTAATGTTAAAATGTAATTTTTACATTGTTAGTATACTTGAGAATACTAAACCCAAAACAGCAAATATAAATAGGAAATCATTTGTTAAATTGGATTATGTGTTTAGAAAGTCGTAAATAACTAATCTTAAAGAATTTAGCTATGTAAATATGATTTTTCATATATGTGGGGGGTTAAAACATATTTGAAGATTGATACTCTAAGTCTTCAGAAGAGTAAATGCTACAATGTGACTCATAATCATTTCATATATTTTTAGAAAGGTTACATTTCTTGTAGAATAAAACATTGATAGGAAAACAATTGTCAGGTTAGATAATTTTAATATAACAAATTTCATCATATAAAATAAAAGTTAAATGTTTGCATTACTTAATATTAACCTCATCTCTCTTCTTCTAATATTTTATCTAGGCTATATATTTATTTTGGAGTTCTAAGAAGACTTAAAATGCATAAGATTGATTTCCCTTCCCTTAATTTTGTATATACAAATTTTATTTTCTGTGCTGCATTCTTTAAATTTCTAGATGTTCTGGGAAATGAGTTATTTACATTATTATATTCATACAAAGAAATCTAAGATTTCTCAAGGCATTATTAGAAACATGTCACTCTTTATGATTGTTGGTATATTGCCTTGGTGTAAATGTGTATTAATTTTCTTATTCTTGAATGTGTTTATAAGAATGAGTGAACAAATACAGAATTTAGACATATGTACCTGAAAAATTGATAAAAATATTTTATAAGAAATATTAGCTTTTAGATTGCCAAGCAAAAAGTTAATAAAGGCAAGTATTAATAATTTATCTTATACATTTAAAACAAATTTTGTGCTTCTTATATTTTATGTGGGAATTTAAAAATACTTTTTCTTTTTATGTCTTTATAAAAAATCCCTACATTAATCAAAAGAAAATATTTTTGGCGACGTTTTCATAACTGTACAAGAGCAAGCCAAAATTTCATTTCACTATAATTTGTTTCTCAAGTGTTTAATAACAGGATTCTCATGGTTGCTTGTAGCAGAGTTATATTGTTTAATTTGTATGTGTGTATATATACACAAATATATGTAACAGGAAGACATTGAGTCTTTATTTCTTTTGATGTCGTTTCTGTAACAGAGAAAACAAATTACAAAGAAAGAGCATTTTTATCTGGCATCTTTCAAATGAAAAATAAAATGTTTCCATTTTTTAATAAAATAAATCTATTACTGGCAGTGCCAAAAGTAAGCATGCACATGGAGGATATGAAATACACACATTGTGGTATGTCTCCCCACAATGACCCCTCTAATTTTTTTTTTTTTTTTTTTTTTTTTTTTTTTTTTTTGGACAGGCAGAGTGGACAGTGAGAGAGAGAGAGACAGAGAGAAAGGTCGTCCTTTGCCGTTGGTTCACCCTCCAATGGCCGCTGCGGCCAGCGCGCTGCGGCCGGCGCACCGCGCTGATTCGGTGGCAGGAGCCAGGAGCCAGGTGCTTTTCCTGGTCTCCCATGCGGGTGCAGGGCCCAAGCACCTGGGCCATCCTCCACTGCACTCCCTGGCCACAGCAGAGGGCTGGCCTGGAAGAGGGGCAACCGGGACAGAATCCGGCGCCCCGACCGGGACTAGAACCCGGTGTGCCGGCGCCGCTAGGCGGAGGATTAGCCTAGTGAGCCGCGGCGCCGGCCACCTCTAATTTTAAATAGAAATCAATTAACTAGAGCTTCAGGAAGCTCTGATAGTGGTCTTGAAGAGAATTTGGTTGTTTAAATGCCTAAGTAGGCTGTTTTTTGGCTTTAATATCTGAACTCTAAATTTTTCCCATCCATGTCTCCTTGTCCAAAATCGTAGCTTTGCAAAGAAAGGAAAAAAAAAAGTTTAAAAATGTTAAACATTAAAGCAAGTTTTTATATTTTTATAATACTTTTCTTAATGAATTATATAGTACTTTTGACAACTTTTTTTGTAGGCCACTATACCTATTAAAGAGGAATTATAAGGAAATTTTCAACATCCCAGAACTGATTATGTTTTTGTCCTATTATTCAAATTTATTCATTCATGTTACTTTTTCATTTCATAATTTTTCCATGGCAGCACAATGCTAGACTAACATGAGAAAGTGAAAAAAAAAAAAATAGTCTCCATCCTAAAGGATCTAACATTTCATTTAGAATCTAAATGGGATGTAGGGCAAATTTTGTACAATATGAAAAATGTTAGTGTAAAGGAGCATCCCATTGTTGACATCTATGCTGTTTTGAGTGCAGAACAAGATCCAAATGTATTGTATTTTATAAGTTTGAGTAAAAATTTAAAATCTAAAGTAAAAATCTTACAAAAGCACCAGTGTAAACAACTGGAAGAGGTAATTGTAGAGTTGAATTTCAGAAGAATCCACACATTATTTTTAGATCATATAAAATCAGAAGCCTTAAAACTCAATATATAACAACATTATACTGCGATGTTAACTACATTAGTATTTTTAAGTTAAAATACGCAAGAATACAAAAAATTCACAAGATTCCTAAAGCACAAGAGAGATTTTCAAAAACTTTGTTAACATTGTGTATTGTGTACTTTTCAAAGTCCCCTGATTTAATGAAGATACTTGAATGTTATAAGAAGTAAATAATTCAAAATTTAACATTCTATAAATCTATTCATCTCTCTCTTTCCCAGATATCTGGGAAAAAAGACTCGTATTATATTTACAATAACTATATCCATAAAGACCAGAACAAAAAATATTTGCCAATAACTGATGTTCTTGTTATAAGGCAGTGTCCTACATATGTAATTAAATATTAAAGAACACTCATGTTCTTACCATAGTGCAAGTTACTATTTATACTTTAAGAAGTCAAAGTGACATATTTCACCAGTTGATTCTTCAGTGGCATTACAGAGTGAAAACAGCTTAATAAATGCATACTAAGTACATTTGAATGTCTTATGTGAGTTAGCTATGGACAAATCTGAAATATCTAATTATCAAATGAAGTAAATGATAATAAATTTTATTCTTAATTTGCTTTTAAATATTCAACATTTATAATTAAACAGCATTAAACATTTATCATTCACTATATATATACAAATATATTTTATACACATATTATTGAGATCCTTTTCCTTTATTTTAAACATCCCAAAACTTTCTTTCTTTTTTTAAGACATCCCAAAACTTTCAAACAAATACAAATAACAATATTAACAGGGATTACTAAAAAGAAAGTGATGAAAATTATAAAGATTCTCTGCGTTTTAAGATAACATGTTCAGAAAGATATTTTGAATGTTAGTTAAAGAGTGTTTCTGCCTCAGTGAGCTCTCTGTACAGGCTATAGTATTCAAGGTTTAAAAGTAAAATTTTTGAATCAGATTGCTTGGGTTTCAATATAGACTCTGTCATTAGCTATTGGTGCTATTTTGGACATACTTCTTGACACCTTCCTGCCTAAGTTTCTTTCATCTGTATTATATCATTTACTTTTTGAGACAATAATGCTGGTGAAATAGAATTTTTCTCATTTTTATTTACTAAAAGTGTTTTCACAAACCATTTCTATATTACCCTATAATAAGTGTTTTATATAAGAATGTAATAGAGTAGGTAATGCCACCTCATTTCCTAATTTAAAAGTCATTTTAATAACATGTACTATAGTACTTTAAAAAACCTTTTAAAGATTTAAAAGTTGGTGATTCCCATAGAAAATATTTGATTCATTAAAAACTATGGAAGGTGTCACTGTCAGTAAAAATGATTAAGATATATTTATTGAGAAGTTCCTAATTGCTATTTAGGTTTTTAATAATTATAAACTCTGTCTCTATTTTCATGAAGTATGAAGATATACAAAACTTAATTTATAGAATGAGCAAGTGATTTTACAATTACATATAAAACTTTCGAAATAAAGAATCTTAAGTTATATATTAACAGGAGTTAGAAAATGAGAAAAAAAATGAGTGACTAGCTTTTTGGACACAGTGAGACTCAAGCAGAGTCTTGAATATTAGATAGGATTTTAATAGGTAACTAAGGAGAAAAGGAAAAATTGAGACACGGAGAAAATAGAAGCAAATGCATGGAGTGAGATGTCTTACTAGGAAAACAGAACAGTGAAGCAGCAATTTGACTAATATAGTAAAAAATCTAGAGCCACTGTACAGTGGAGCTGCAATAAAAACTCTTTTAGAAAGTGTGGTTCTCCTCTGGTAACTACGTTATTTGGGAGGGAGATGTTAATTCCATCATAAAAGCATGAAAGTGAATTTGAGCTGACACATGAGATGAACTTTGATGAGTGGTTCATTGAAAGATCAAGAAACGAGCTTGGAAAAGATTAAAGCACCTTAGATTAGAAGTTATTAGCAAAGATATTATTTTACAATCCATGAAGAAAACACAAAATATAGGAGAACTTTGAATTTGTCCACTGTAGTTGAATCAGCCAGAGAGTGATGGAAAAAAACAAACAAACAAACAAAAAAAACAGACAAGTAAAGAGTGATTAAAGCGCAAACCAGAGGAACAACAATAAAAACAGCAGGAATATCCTATGCTTTTAATTGGTGAGCATGTAATAATGTTGTAAAGACTGATAATACTGGTGATACTTAGGAAATCAATTTTGGTAGAATGATGCAGATGCTGCAACTACTTAAGAGATGAGCCATATAACCTCACACAACCATGATTCTTCTGCCATTATCTGATAACTGTCTTCTATTTGCTGAATCAGTCTGAACACAGTGACGTTTTTGAACTAAATGATCCAGATGTCCCGTGGTTCTCAAAGTTGACTTTACAGTAGAAACACCTTGATAGTTATAATTTTTTAATGATACTCAGAATCCTCCTTAAAGTAATTCCATTAGGATATCTAGGGGTAAAACTAGAATCTTTACTCTCTGAATGCTTATATGTGATTCACATATAAGCATTTCAATCCACAGCACAGGACAAGAATGATTGCCGAGTTTTTGTTTTTGTTTTGTTTTACCACTTCAGAGCCTTTACTTAGGTACTATTTTTCCTTTAAAAAAGCAGATGCATTGATAAAGAGTAAAGCAATAAAAGTTATTCTCTAGGTTATTTTAAGCTTGACTTTATAAAAACACTCATATCACCCATATTTGAGAAATAACTGGTTTAATAATCTTCCCATTAAAACACCTATTCTGGGCATGTAGTTATCCAATGTGATTACATTCACTGAAAAAATTAATGGATCTTAAAAAAAATTAACTAGGTGTCCTGAAGAAACTCCTGAAAACATGTACAATGGCGAAGTAAAAGCTAGTCACAGAGATTGCCCATGGGTTAAACCATAATTTTATTTTCAGCATTATACTATAATTCAGTAAAATGCTTAGTAAGTTTCAACATTATTTTACTTTAATATTGGAAGGTCAAATTCCATTTTAGAGCATATACAGAAGTGTTAATAATTTTAAACTTTTTCCATGGGGTTTAATTATTTCTATTGCAACTTAAAAAAAACAGATATCCAAATGACACTGTCATAACTGGTGATGAATATTTTACTGCCAATGATTAATGGAAACTCGACACTGATACCCTGAAAATATGATCCATGGAATTTTGATATTTGATAGTAATTAGAAATGAAACATTAGATGTTAATATGCATTTAATTCAGTTTCTTTTAGGCTCATAAATAGAAAAAATGCCTTTGCCTTCATTATTGGTTGATCAAATTATATTTTAACTTTCTTTACTTACAATGAGTGACTATAACAAAATATAACTATACATTTTATGTAAATTTTTAAATAAATATCACCTTTGATTTTCTAATCATCATATTTTTTCTGCTATTACAGTAAATGAGGGAGGTATTAAAACAGCTTCAAATTTATGCCCAGATCCAGGAGAGCCAGAAAATGGGAAGAGAATTGGATCTGACTTTAGGTAATATTTTAAATTTTTATTTTACTATTTGTATCATTAAAGGTTATTACAATTTAACTTTTTGAGATTTAAGATAATTAAAAATGTTTAAGGTTTTAATATAACTCATGAAATACATTTTAAGTTTTAGTGATGTCAAAAGAGTCCATTGATGTGTTACTATTAATATGTCATAAGTTTAAAGTGATTTGTTGATGTATCAACTTTATTGGGACATTTTTGATGTTAAATAATTAATTTATTATCATGTAGTAAATGAAAGGCATGGTGTTTACATTTTAAAGACATACATGTGAATTCAAATTCTACTTAGTTGTCTGATATAAGGTAAGTTGTTCAATTCCGTCAGCATGAGTTTGATTTGCAAAATGTAAATCAAATTTACCACATACAATGAAGAAGGTCAAATATGGCAAATCTGTGAAACCCTTCAGCAAGTGTTCTATAAACATCTTGTTCTTATTTTTGAGAAATAAATATAATATGGGTATAAGTTTTATCTCTATCACAAAACAATCTAGAGATTATAGGCAGCAAACTGTGGCTACTATGAATTTATATTACTAACAAATAATGCTTTCTATTTATTTATTTAATTGAAAGTCAGAGATACATAGAGGAGAGGCAGAGAGAGAGAGAGAGAGAAAGAGAGAGGTCTTCCATCTGATGGTACACTTCCCAATTGGCCACAACTGCTGGAGCTGCGCTGATCCAAAACCAGGAGCCAAGAGCTTCTTCCAGGTCTCCCACATGGGTGCAGGGGCCCAAGGACTTGGGCTATCTTCTACTGCTTTCCCAGGCCAAAGCAGACAGCTGGATCAAAAGTGGAGCAGCTGGGTGTTGAACTGGTGCCCATATGTGATGCCGGTGCTTCAGGCCAGGGAGTTAACACGCTGAGCCACAGTGCCAGCCCCCAAATAATGTTTTTTAAAAACCTTGGAGTTTTGTTAATCCACAATTATAACATTTTATGAATAAATGATGCAAAAGTCTTATCAAAATATTAAATAACTTGGTTAAAATCTTCAAACACCTATATTTCAACATATTCATTGTATACTAAGTTGTGTTTTTTATTATTGATAATTCTGTTTATAGATAAACATACCACACATGAACTGTTTTTATTTCTTGACATTATTTCTGTAAAGTCAAATGGTTCACAAAGAATATCCCTATGAAGAGAAAATATAGGTCTTAGAATATAAGCCTACGAAAGTTTTGTTTCCATGGATTTTTCAGGATAACTTTTAATGTTATCTTTTACTATATTTGGAGCATAAAACAAACATTTCCACAAGAATATAATTATAGTTTTTTTTAAAAAATAGAACTTCATTAGCCCCAAACTATTATACAAATAATATATTTTTTTAAGTTTTATTTCTTTGACAGGTAGAGTTACAGAGAGAAAGGTCTTTCATCCAGTGGTTCACTCTTCAAATGGCCACAATGGAAGCCAGAATGGATCGGAAGCCAGGAGCCTGGAGCTTCTTCCAGGTCTCCCACAGGAGTGCAGAGGCCCAAGCAGATATTATTTAAAGAAGCACAGTAAGGCCCAGCATTGTGGCACATTGGGTTAAGCCACTTCCTACAATGCCAGCATCCCTTCTGATCGCTGGTTTGATTCCAGGTTGCTCAACTTCCAGTCCCACTCCCAGCGAATGTACATTGAAAACTATCAGAAATTGGCCTGAGTACATGGGCCCTTCCAAACCTCGCGGGAGACTTGGATGGAGTTCCAAGCTCCTGGCTTTGGCCTGCCTCAACCCCTACAGTTGTAGTCATCTAGGGAGTGAATCAGCAGCTGGAAACTCACTTTCTGACCCTCTGTCTATCTCTCTCTCCATATATATATATATACCTCTGCCTGTCAAATAAAGAAAATGAATCTTAAAAAAAAAAATGGGGCCAGCATTGTGGTGTAGCAGGTAAAGCTGCCACCTGCTATGCCAGCATCCCATATGGGCACAGTCTTGTCTGTTCCACTTCTGATCCAGCTCCCTACTAATGTACCTGGGGAAGCAGTGGAGGATGACCCAAGTGCTTGGGCCCCTGCACCCAGGTGGGAGACCTGGAAGAAGCTCCTGGTTCCTGGCCCAGCCCCAACTGTTGCAGCCATTTGGAGAGTGAACCTGTGGCTGGAAGATTCTTTCTCTCTGTCTCTGTCTCTGTCTCTGTCTCTCCGTCTCTCTCTCTCTCTTTGTAATTCTGCCTTCCAAATGGATAGAAAAGTAAAGAAAAGGGGAAAAATGAAGAAAAGGAGAGGAAAGGAAAGCACACCAAAAAATAAATTCGAAAGACCTAGGATCTGGTCAAGTTTTGGTTCAACACTCATAAACTTAGTGTATAAAATCAACTAAATCTTTACAGCGTATGAATCTTTGTAGAGTATAAAACAATTTTAGCTGTTACTAAGAGAATTTGTGGGCCGGCGCCGCGGCTCACTAGGCTAATCCTCCGCCTAGCGGCGCCGGCACAGCGGGTTCTAGTCCCGGTCAGGGCACCGGATTCTGTCCCGGTTGCCCCTCTTCCAGGCCAGCCCTCTGCTGTGGCCAGGGAGTGCAGTGGAGGATGGCCCAGGTGCTTGGGCCCTGCACCCCATGGGAGACCAGGAAAAGCACCTGGCTCCTGGCTCCTGCCATCGGATCGGTGCGGTGCGCCGGCCGCAGCGCGCCGGCCGCGGCGGCCATTGGAGGGTGAACCAACAGCAAAGGAAGACCTTTCTCTCTGTCTCTCTCTCTCACTGTCCACTCTGCCTGTCAAAAAAAAAAAATAATAATAATAAAATAAAAAATAAAAAAAAGAGAATTTGTATGTTACTAAGTGAATTTACATAAGTAATTAATAAAGTAAAACTTTATTAAGTTGTAGTTATTCTTTTTAAAAAGATTTATTTATTTATTTAAAGTCAGAGGGAGAGAGAGAGAGAGAGAGAGAGAGAGAGAGAGAGAGATCTTCTGTTCTCTGGTTCACTTCCCAAATGGATACAACAATCAAAGTGGGGCCAGATGCAAGCCAGGGGCCAGGAATCCCATCCAGGTTTCCCATGTGAGTGCCAGCGATCCATGAACTTAGGCCATTATCTGCTGCCTTTCCTGGTGCATTAGCAGGAAGCTGGATCAGAAAACAGGATGCAGGCAACCCAAGCAGCAGCTTAACCCACTTCACACTAACATTTACTGCTAAATGATTATTTTTTCTTCTCTTCTTTTTAATATTTGTTTACTTATTTGAAAGAGCTACAGAGAGAGATAGAGAGACAATCTTCCATCCCCTGGTTCACTTCCCACATGGCTGCAATGGGCCAAGATTGAACCAGGTTGAAGCCAGGAGCCAGTACCTTCATTTGGGTCTCCCTCATGTGTGCAGGAGCCCAATCACCTGAGCTGTCTTCTGCTGCTTTTAGCAGGCCATCAGCAGGGAGCTGGATTGAAAGGGAGCATCAAGGGCATGAACTAGTGCCCTCACGGGATGCCTGTGTTGGAGATAATAGCTTTACCTTCTATGCCACATCGCTGCCCTTTCTTTTATTGTTATAAAATGCTATGACTATTCATTGTTTTATGTCAATTCTAGATACAAAGAATATGAAGCTCCATTTACCCAGCTAATAATGTGATTGAATTGGAATTTGAATTCATGACTCTGGATTCCAAAAGCAGACCTCTTAATCACTGTATTAGATTATGTTTTGAAGTCAAATCAACTTCATTCACATTTCATTTGTCACATACCTTTCTTGTCTTCTCCAAGATTTGATTTACTCAAATCTAAAAAATAGGGCTAAAATTATTTATCTTACTTAGTTGATAATATATTGATAATAGTAATCCTAAACTTGTGGCAAAATGAGTAGTCTATCAATTCTAGCTGCTAAAATAGGAAAAATTATGTAGAATAACTATTAAAATTTGTATTTTCTTGATTCCTACTACTTAAAAATTATATGAATGTTTCACTGATAATCAATTTTAAAGTAATGTAATATAATAGTGATTTACTGGGCTAGATTACCATAAAGTGCAGTGGATTTCAAGTCATACAAGGTATTCTCAAATATTAAAATGTACCATAAAATCAAAAATTTTGTAAAACTCAAGATTATGTGAGAGTATACAGAAATCTTAGTGTAGGAACACACACAATTTAAAGAGGTTAGGTTCCCATAGATACTGTAAGAATTATATAGCACCAGCCTGCAGAGGAGGAAGAGCCTGTCATGAAGTAAGAGCTTGATAAACATTCCAGGAAAATAAAGATCAGTGAAGTTCAGTATTAAAGTGTAAATGGTGGAAAAAGGAAAATGAAGTTGAGGCAGTAAAGAGAAACCAGATAGATACCTTCTGCAGAGTAAGTAAGTTGGTAACAATTCAGCTTAATCTGGACTGAAGATACATTTTAAGCACAAAGTTTTTTTTTTTTTTAAATGGGAACCAACTTTTAAAACTAATGTGATTTCCTACCTACCTATTCATACCCCAGGCCACCTCCCCCTCGTGTAAAATATTTGTTGCCCATCAATTATTTGATACTTTAAACCTGTAAATTTTCACAGAATAATCTGTTGTAAACAATCAACAGTGTCTTTCTCTAGCCTAGGCAGACTTTCTTTTCCTAATTTAGGTTACCATCCTATAATGGGAACTTATAGAGCTAAAATAGAATAACCTGACCCAATTTGAACTTCTAGTAAAATCATGCTTACTGTTTAAGAAATTTTATTGAAGAAAACATCAGCTTTAGTTAGAAGGCTACTACAGTAGTTTGGGTAGGAAATTGTTGAGATTTTGACTATGCTGTTGACAGGGAATTATACAGATTCAAGATATATTTTGAAGATAAAATCTTCAGTATCAGGTTTGATGTGAAAACCAAGAAACACAAAAGAATAAATATGATTCCAAACTTTGTGGGAATGAAAAAATGAGAATAGAGTAAATTAAATATTTGATGAAGTGTGGAAATTAAGAAGTTTGAGGAGAGAAATTGAGAATTCA